CTTGTAATTAGTTCCCTCAAGACAGAGTTTTATATAAAGGTTAAGTGCACATCAAGAAAACATCCCAACCCAGTGCTGCCCAAGCCCATAAGTCCACCATTAACCCATATGTCTGACACCAATCCACAAAGTCCTCCTCCATCTCACAAGACACACACGGTGATGCCAACTGCAGGAGAAAAGCCAAATCTGAATGTGTAAGTGTCTCAGGGGTCTCCACACGGCTGCTCCAGCACCCCGGGCTGCATCGGGCTAGGTCTATGTGGCTTCTTGGGGATGTCTTGCAGGAAGTCATCCTTGCCAGTTGAAGCAGGGCTAAGGCAGCTGCACCCTGGTCCGATCATCACAAAACAAGAGACCCGAGAACTAGAAAGGCCAGACTCACCGAGCCATTTATCTCTCTGCCCTCTAATTAACCCCACATGTATTTATTGGCCAGGTTGGTACAATAAACATGAACTATCTCAGGATCCATTCCAGTCTAGCTTTCCTGAAGCATAGATTGATGGGTGGGCTTGTTTGGTGACCTGGATGGGCTTGGGGAAAGAAAATTATATGATCAACGGAATAAAAGTGGCAAAGGAAGTCTCATTTCCTTCCCAAATCCAAATAGCATGATTCAGGTATAATTCAGTGTTAACTTGTATTATGTAGATGAGTTGACTTTATTGTAATTATTTGTGACTTAATCATGGAGTCCCCACATTCTCCTTCACCTGAGAAACAAGTAAACACTATCAGAATTTCTGGGATTCAGGGCGACCGGTTGACCTTAAACGGAATGTGGCAGTTACATGATTTCATGTCAACTTGTAAAATAGGTTAGAGGGGTGGAGTTTAGCCTGTCAATCAGGTCACAGCCCGATTGATGCCTCCTTGTGGGTGTGGCCCTCTCATGAGGATTCTAGGAGTTTTTCTCCCTTCTCTCTGGAGGCGGGACACACTCACTCTCTGCTTCACATTATTGTTGACAAGCCATATGGAGACACACCAATGGAGCCAGAGCCTTAGAGCTAGAGGAGCCATGTGGAAACCCACGCCAGCGCTGAGATGTTTCCACCGCCACTGGATCCACAAAATTTTCCATCCACTGGCCTGTGATTGTCCTGCATCCATCATCATTACATGTGTTAAATGAGTATGAAGAGGAATTTATAGGTTGGTATCAGACATATGGGCTACCCTGTTTTCCCAAAAGTAAGACATCCCCCGAAAATAAGACCCACTTAAAACAGTTTTGCCTCTCACTGAAATATAAGGCATCCCCCATGAAAATAAGACCTCCCCGAAAATAAGGCCCCCCCAGCAACCTTAACTCTGGACTCTGGATCATAGTGGCGGGTGCCGCCACGCAGCTCACTGTTGGCTGCAGCGCAGCTGGAGCAGACAGGAAGTGTGACGTCTTTTAGTAAAACAATAAATGCATACCGTATTCTTCATGGAAAAATAAGACATCCTCTGAAAATAAGACCTACCGTATCTTTGGGAGCAAAAATTAATATAAGACACTGTCTTATTTTGGGGGAAACTTAGGGACTTGATCTGGACTGGGCTGGGATGTTTTCTTAATATATAGTTGCTCTTTGATATAAAGTTCTCTCTTACATGCATATGAGTGTTTCTGGATTTTTCTCTCTAGTCAACCCAGACTAACATATGGACTAACACACTGAGTGAACTAAAGCAAAAGCTAAACAACACAGGCAGCCCCTAACACCTGTGGCCCAGGCCTTAATGAGGCGTCTCAGTCACAGCAAAACCAGAAGACACTGGTCCTGAGCCAGCGAGCAGCCTGGGGGCCAGAGAAGAACCGAGGGAGAATGCCTGGTTTCTGCCACACTCCTACCAGACACTTTCTGCCACCATACACCCCAGTGGAAGAAAAGCAGGGATGGAGATAATGGAATACAGGCAGGAAGATGATCTGGACTCATTGGATGAGGAGAAATGCCAGCACTAGAGTGCTTTACACACATGGAATGCCCCACATCTGCTCAGTAGCTTAGAAGCAAAAATCCATCAGAGCAACACAATTTCAACTTCCGAATACTGTTTCCGATGTGTGCCTTCAACTGAAAAACGTTTTGGCTAAATAAATTTATATGATAACTGATTTTGTTTCTGACTATTTCACCACAATTTTCTATAGACGTACCTAGATTTAAAAGTGTATTTCTATTTATAATAGTTGTTCACACAACAGCAGATTGCTGTGGTCCTTGGGAGATCTGGATTCTTGGGAAAATTGGTTTCTTGTCTTAAGTTTTGACCTAAGCCATATCCATCTTTTATTACCAGCACATGTATAGCAATTGCTGATGAAGAGCAAGGATTGTAGCCTTCAGTATGGATTACAACTCAGTATAAGGAAGACCAAAGGCCTCACAACTGGACCATTTGGTAACATCATGATAAATGGAGAAGAGGTTGAAGTTGTCAAGGATTTTGTCTCATTGGATCCACAATCAATGCTCATGGAAGCAGCCGTCGAGATCAAAAGCCATATTGCATTAGGTAAATATGCACAAGACCTTATTAGAGTATTGAAGAGCAAGGATGTTTCCTTGAGGACTTGGGTGCACCTCACCCAAGTCATGGTATTCTCCGTTGCATTTTATGCATGTGAAAGTTGGATATTGAATAGACTACAGAAGAATAAAACATTAGTGCTGGAGAAGAATATTGACAGTACCATGGGAAGAGGACAAACAGGTATGTGGGAAGAAGTAAGACCAGAGTGCTCCTGGAGAAGGACATCGTGTGTGGTAAAGTGGAGGGGTGGCATAAAAAGGAAGGTCCTTGATGAGATGGATTGACAGAATAGCTGCCTCAATGGGCTCAGGCATAGGAAGTGCAGAGAGGAGGATGCGGGACCTTATAAGGTTTCGTTCAGTTGTGCCGAAGGTGGCTGTGGGTCAAAGGCAAGTCGATGGCACCGAACAACAAGAATCCAGTGATACTGGCTGAGTGCCTCATGTTGTGCACCCATCACCACTATCCATTTCCAAGTTATTCTGCCCCTGTTCACAGACTCAGAGCCTCCTAGGCAGTGACTTTCCTTTCCCGCTTCCTCCTACCCTTTAGTAGCCACTAGTAGGTTTTGCATTTGTCTACCTCATACAAGTGGGGACAGACAATATGTGTCCCTTTGTGACTGACTCATTTCACCAGCATGATGTTTTTTAAGATTCCTCTCTGTTTGGGCATGCATCAGG